AGGGTTACCTATGGGAAAGCGTGGGGCTAAGAGAGAGAGGAGAAAAGGTTTCACATGGTGCACTGTGGTTTTGTCCTCTCCCAAGTGTTTCTAATGATTAATTTGCAGTGGAAGTTTTCCTTTTATCTTTTCCAGCACACTTATATGGTTGCCCTAGATTGCTAGAAGAAAAGATCCAACTATCATGGATCTGCACCACATTCATAATAGTCCAAGGCTCTCCAGTACATGCCAAAAAGGTGACCACCTTTAAACTCTCGAACATGTGACAACTTGTAGTAGCCTCACAGCATTGGAGCCTGGAAATGAACTAGACAACTAGTTGCTGTACAAAAAGGCATCCACGTATGAGTCAGCCGCTTCATCCCTCACTCACAGTGAAGATGATTAACCTTTGCTTAGAACCCAAGGCTTGGCAACATGTCTCCAGTATTAGTTATGGATATGGTGGTTTTACAACGTGTCTATTAAAGGGTGAGATTTGGCTCGATGGTGAGGTTGTTTCCTTGAGACCTAGAGGTCTCAGGTTCATATCGCAGAAACAACCTCTCTGCCCGCAGCGGTAAGGCTGCACACATCTGACCCTCCCTAGACCCCACAATGGTGTGAGACTCATGCGCCGCACTGGGCATATGTATCATTCACTAGAGAAGTTATTTAGTGTAACATAGATGAACAAGATTGCCTATTGGTTAGAACCAACACTAGATCGAACACATGTTACTTGCACATTCTTCTCAAAAAGGAAGGAGGAGATTATGAAGAACAAAGTTTACATGAACTATCAAGACATCACTTGATTGACTTTGTACTCTTGAGGGGATTGAATGAGTGATGTGGGGGAAAGAGGAGGCAAATAGATTGGAGGAGGGGTCAACACAATGATTAACTTCCTGCACTTATCAACACTAGGCAAATATAATCTTGCCCAGACAGCCAGAAGTGAAGCAACAAAGAATTCTTAACTTCGCAAAGTGCTCGGGACCAAGAGAACAAAGGAGGACCCTTCTACTTGTTGGCTTGTCTCCTTAAGGCCTTACCATCTCAAAGGGAGTTGGCTCCTTTGCACATGCCTGGGAGAGCACACCATTATCCATAGTCAACAGCAGCAGTTGATTAAGGTAGATGTGATTTCAAGTAGGCTTTCTCTAGACATCATCAAGCTGCTCAAGGAAAATATAAAAAAGTGTCATGTTGGTACATGCACTTTATATAGGTCAGTCAGAGCTTGATATATCAGAAGAATGGAAGTGTACTAGAGAGGTTAAAGCCTTGGATTATAAATGTCCAGACTAAGACCTCGGTTAATATTTCTCATGATGGTAAGTCTAAAACTAGTTTTAGAGGTTATTGAACAGATTTCACCCTAAAGTGATGTCCTTGTTTCAGTCATAATTAACCACCTCCAAGTTCTCTGACGTTTAGTTTCTTTTATGGGTGCGTTCCAGCATTCTGCGCATCCAAGAACCTAGGCGTCACAATTGCACTAACAAAATGCATTCCCTCAAAATCTCTTTATAACAAAACGTCAACAGCTTTAATTCAACTTCCAATCTGTACACTAGAATCCTTGCTCTCTTCAATAAAAGGAAAGAGAGGGCGGAGAGAAGAAGAACCTGATACAAAGCCATGGACAAAATTATCGAGGGAGACTAGCTAAGTTAATGAAGAAGATAACAAAGTGAATATCTACTGGTGTTTCGGACTCATTAGTGGTCCAATTTTCCCTATCTGACCAGAAGCATGTCATTTATGTGCTCCATTCAGTCATGCAATATATCATACTACATGGAGGTTCAATTTTACAACTGATCTTTGTCCATAATTCTACTTCATCCAAATGCAGGCTGACTTAAATATACAAAACCAGAAACTTACAACCTAATACAGCTATCAACTATTTTAAAATAAAACAAAATTGAGATCAGAGGCCATGCAAAACAGCAGCTAACCAATTAAGAAAACCAATGCTCTAGAACAAGTTGGCTTTACGGATTAAACAATAATTGTAACATTTGATAATATACTGCCTAACCATATATATCAATACAACAAAGATGATAAAAGAAGTCGATTATGGAATCAGATATGAACAGTTCTTACAGATCATTGCCTGTTAGGAGTGCCTTTGCAATGAGCTTTAACGAAGGAAAAGTGGAATCTGCATCTTAAACGCTTCGACTTTATCATAATTCAAGATGGTCGATTTCATGGTATCGGAACTTTTACGAGCAAAGACTAACTGAACTTATGTCATGCACATGATTCTTTAATGGTATAGAATTCTAGCATCTCTTCTTCCACAGGATGAGTCTCTCCTACTATTATGAGGCAGTGAAGTGGCGCGCCAAAATCAACGTCAAGCAAATCTTTCATTGGACCAGCAACAATCATCTGATCCTTGTTGCCAAGGCGAGCAAGACCAACACATTTTGATTCTTCACTGTATGCTGCAGAACAGTTGCGAGATGAGCAACATGAAAATTAAATGGTCAAAACAGAAATGGACTTATCATTAGGTTAAGTGACAAAACAAATCTCTCATTAGTTGCTCACATGATGCTTTTCCTTTGTTCTAGTAACAAATGAAGTTGCAATGAAGTCTACAAATGATCCATGATGAAAACAAATTGTGGAGGAAAGCAATTGGCTAGAAAAGAAAAGAAGTTTTTGGAAAGAAGAAAAGGATGCCTCAACAAATGTCGGTAAAGATAGACCTCAGCCTGATTCAACAGAACAGCCTTCTTAACAGATATAGTCATTGATTAAATGGAAAATGGCTAAAAACCCCACTGAACTAACTGGTTACATATGAACCAAACAAACCATGTCAACTGGTTCAAAGGAGAATGGACAGATTTACTGTGCTTGTCAGTTTATTTTTATTAAAAACAGTTGCTAGCATCAGGATTTAAACTGCGCTCAGTGGAAGAGAACCTAATGTCTTTCCCCATACAGGGGTTCAAATCATTTCATCCCCACCTGTTACTTCTCCCATGTGCAGTATCAAGGTATTAACTGAATGAGATCGATTAGGTGTAGAAGACTAGAACTGTAGGAGACAACATAGACGACATTCCATAAAATTATTCAACTGCAAGAGACTAATTTTGAAGGGATATCAACGTAAAACTCGCATATCTAAAGAAAAAAACAGGTGAGACACAAAGTCCCTTTACGTTTATCAAGGCGCAAGGGGCAATGCAGGGTGCAAAGACCCCTTACAAGCACCATGCACTACACGCAATGAGATGAGCACGCCTCAATGAAGCAAGACGCATGCCACAAATAAAATTGTTTTGATACATGTGTCAAGTTAAACAAACATATTTATTAATTTTTGATAAAGAAAGTGCCAAGATAAATAAGTTCACCTATTAAATTACAGAAAGGTCTTCATTAATAAACTTAACAATAGTTACAAGAGAACTAATGAAAATTTAACACTACCCGTCCATATTTCTAGTAACTAATCACAGAAAAATATAAAAGAACTTTTTCTATAAAGTTATGCATCTAGAATTACATTCGTAGAAGCAGAACATCTAGTGGAACATGTCTAGGGTTTTGATCTAACAACGCTTCAATAAAAAATGTCACGTAATCGAGTTCAATATTATTAATAATTGTTGATATCACAACAATAATTTGTGTTTCACATCCACTATTCCAGATATAGTAGGAACAATAGTTGCAAAAAGAAGGAAAAAAGAAGGGGGAGTAGACAAGAATTTCAGGAAGAGAACGGGAATGAGAAAAAACTGACAAAAGAGTGGGTGAAAGCAGAGCAATAAGAGATGAAGCAATAATAGCAGGGGATAGTAAGGCGCACCGAGACGCGCGCCTCACTTATGCGTTGTGCCATGCACCTAATGCAGGGCACAGTTTCAGCACCCCGAATGCTCGAGACGATAGCTTCAGAGCGCCCAAGATGACACAGGAAACATGTAAAGCTTTTTTAGGCCATAAAATACAAGGAGTGTCCCTGTGAAGAAAAAAAGAACATTTGGAGTAAATGTGATTCTTATTCTACTACACAAAACCTCAATTGGGAAGCATGGAATCATATAGGAAAATTGTTCCCGGATGCAGCAACACAATACATGAAATAAATATAGGTATTATATGTGATGATATAGTTTTAGTTGACGAGACTAGAAAATGTATAATTTCTAAAATAGAAAGGTGAAGAAAAGTTTTTGAACTATGGTTTTAGACTTAGGTGGAATAAAATTAGAATACATGGAATGCATTTTTAGTAAAACTAAAAAGAGAAAAGAGCCTACAGTACATATTGATCAAGAAATATCTAAAGGAATCGACTTTTGCTATTTAGGATCAACCATTCGTCATAATGGTGAGATTAAGGATGATGTTGTCCATCAAATCAAATCGAGATGGTTAATGGAGGAGTTCTTCGAAAGTCTTATATGATCGTCGAATGCATATGAGAAAAGGAAAAAATTTATAAAACGGTTATAAGACCAATAATGCTTTATGGATCAGAATGTTGGGCAATTGAAAAGCATATGCAAAAAATAAGTATAGTAGACATGAGAATGTTGTAACAGTCTTGTGGGTATACACTAAAAGATAGGATAGAAAATGAGTGCATTTGTAGTAAATTAGAGGTTGTTCCTATTAAGGATAAAATAAGAGAGAATCGATTAAGGTGGTCTGGTCATATTCAACGGAGATCTCTTAGAGCACCGGTTAGCAAAAGTGATAATATTATAGTTAATGGGGCAAAGAGAAATAGAGATAGACTTAAAAGAACTTAGTTGAATGCAATTAAGAATGATATGATTATGGTTAACTTAATAGATGAGATGACTCATAATAGAATGGAATTGAAAAATAAGATTCATGTAGTTAACCTGAAAGTCTGAAACATTTGGGATAAAAGTTTTGTTGTTGCATAGGATGATAACATAATGGTACATAAGTTTAAATTTTATTCATACATCAAAATTCACATTCAAACTTCAGTAATTGATGTGATGTAACGCTAAATAATGTTCGTAGATAATCTTGATAAAGTTACTTAGTTTTTGTACAAATTTTGTAC